AAATATGCTAGCATGTGTATCAAATGTTATATTATGTTTATCAAATATTCTAGTGTGTCTTTCAAATATTATATTGTGTCTATCAAGTATTCTAGTATGTGTATCAAAAATTCTATTGTGCATTTAATATCTTTTGTGCATCAAATATTATATTGTGTTTGTATAAAAATATTCGAGCGTGTGTGTATCAAATATTCTAGTGTGTATATCAAATATTTTAGTGTGTGTATCAAATATTCTAGTGTGGTTATCCAATATACTAGTGTGCCAGTATCAAATATTCCAGTATATTATAATATTATAGTGTGTATCAAATACTCGCAATAAAGAAGATTGATTCTTTGTTTCCAATACTCAATTGTTTTCTATAAAACTAGAATTAAACCGCCAAACAATGGTGGTGGCAATACGTGACCTTCCCATCTGCTAAAGTTACCTGACAAAACTGGCATTCAAGAAGCGCACTTTTCAAAATTCCCAATTCATGTTAACTTCTAAGAGTTTTATTATATTAACTTACTAAAAATAATTCTTATATATTAAATATTTTAAATATTTGTAAATAGGCAGATTGACATTGATTCTATATTTCGTTTTCTACTGTGCTCTGATTCTTGTCGTATTTTCAATTGTCCTGTTCGCGGTAGAGGGCTCTAAGCATGGACGCCCTCAGAAAACTTTCTAGGGGAGGGGGGGGCAAAAAATCGATTAACTTTCCAGGGGTGGGGGGGGGGAATTATTAGTAATGTTTTAATATAGTTTTAATTTACTGTAGCGTATTTGTATGGTGAACGAACGGACAGGACATCAGCTTAGTTACTTTCTCTTTATTTTCTCTTTACTTTCATAAATTTTTTGCCTATTTTTATCTAAAAAAATTTTATCCAATCAATCCAGGGGGAGGGGGGCAAGTGCCCCCTCTTGCGCCTACCTGCGGGCGCCCATGGCTCTAAGACAAAACATTCACATCCTTTTGTCTATTCTTTTGATTCAAGCTTCATCAACATATCTTATCTACTAATCCATTCACATAGCTTGAATGCAAGTCCTTCAATTATTACCTTTTATTCCCATTTAGAAATAGGATTTGTATTTTGCGCAGCAATTGAACACAACTTTACACACTGGCTCCTGCACTTTGGGGGAATTGTATTTTCGCACAGAGGGTTACAAGTTACAGCTAACAAACCTATCTGAAGAATTATTTTTTTGTGATGTTTGAATAGAAAAACTTTGGCAACCAAGTTCTATGGACAAAGCAGGAGTGACTGCATTTTGATTAGGCTTAAAGACAGGAATGGTGTCATGTTGAATAGGCCTAAAGACAGGAGTGATGTCATGTTGAATAGGCCTTGAGACAGGAGTGATGTCATAATGAATAGGCCTAAAGGCAGGAGTGATGTCATGTTAAATATGCTCCATGACAGGAGTGATGTCATGTTGAATAGGCATAAAGGCAGGAGTGATGTGATGTTGAATAGGCCTTGAGACAGGAGATGTCATGTTGAATAGGCCTTGAGACAGGAGTGATGTCATAATGAATAGGCCTAAAGACAGGAGTGATGTCATGTTAAATATGCTTCATGACAGGAGTGATGTCATGTTGAATAGGCCTAAAGACAGGAGTGATGCCATGTTAAATAGGCATAAAGACAGGAGTGATGTCATGTGGAATAGGCCTTAAGACAGGAGTGATGTCATGATGAATAGGCATAAAGACAGGAGTGATGTCATGATGAATAAGCCTAAAGAAGGAGTGATGTCATGTTAAATAGGCCTAAAGACATGAGTGATATGTTAAAATAGACCTAAAGACAGAAATGATGTCATGTTGAATAGGCCTAAAGACACATATCGATTTTACTAGAACTGTTTGCATGCTGTTTTTAAATTTTTGTTAGATGGGTGGGGGGGGGGGTATAGAATCTATTGTCTATCGAAATTAAATCATTTCCTAAAACAGCATTTCTGAAATCTAATTATATAAATAGGCCTAAAGACACATATCGATTTTACTAGAACTGTTTGCATGCTGTTTTTAAATTTTTGTTAGATGGGTGGGGGGGGGGGGTATAGAATCTATTGTCTATCGAAATTAAATCATTTCCTAAAACAGCATTTCTGAAATCTAATTATATATCTTAATGTGTTTATGGGCATTTTGTTCACGCCCTAAACAATCTGAACATTCTAACGATATCCCATGCGCTGAAGTTTTACACCGTATCTTTATGACACAAACTATTTCCGTAAAACAAAAGAGAGCACTGTTGCGGCCTCCATAATGTTGCGGCCTCCATAATGTTGCGACCTTCTTCCTCTATTCTCTAGGGGTCACAATCTCCGATGGTGAGGTACTCGATGTCTAACCTTATGTCAGACCTGTATGGTTAATTCTCGTCTTTCTCTCTCTCTCTCTCGGTCAAGCAACTCAAACACCGATTAGTCCATTGTAAATTATGTATTTATTTACATGTACTGAAACATCCACTTGTTACAAAACACAGTTGCTACACAGTTCATCCAGCAGAAGAATACAATCCTCAGGCAACGAGCCATACAATGAATCTAACAAAATTGCTATATCTCTCGCCTCTACTCTGGACTCCGGCTCATCGGCTCCACTCTCACCATCAACCAACTTGTCTCTGCTTCTGTCGACCAGCACCCTGCACTTTTATATCTCCACAAAGCACGCAGCATACAGTAACGTTCCACACCACGAACCAACTTCACGCTCTGACCTCACGATCAACGACTCACAAAACTCTCTCACGATCAACAACTCACAAAACACACTCATGATCAACAACTCACAAAACTCTCTCACGATCAACAACTCACAAAACACACTCATGATAAACAACTCACAAAACACACTCATGATCAACAACTCACAAAACACTCTCATGATCAACGACTCACAAAACACTCTCATGATCAACGACTCACAAAACACTCTCATGATCAACAACTCACAAAACACTCTCACGATCAACAACTCACAAAACACTCTCATGATCAACAACTCACAAAACACTCTTAAATGAAGATATTCACACAATTACATTGATCAATTCTTATGGGATACGTTCAAATTTGTGTAAAACAGAGTAGCTTGCCCGTGGTTTCCGCCTACTTTTACCAGTTTGGGTTGGTTCCAAAATCATGTTTGTTGTTTCTAAACTGGATTCCTGTAAGTTAAGTAGAGTTAATTAAAACATACCCTTGCTGTGAATAACGTCCTTCCACTCAATTCACGGTGACGTCACCGGACCCATGTTTACTGAGCCATAAAATGACAACCCTAATTGATATAAAAGCGGAAATGATAGTGGACATTCCTGGTGCAAGACAGGGTGGACATTCCTGGTGCAAGACAGGGTGGACATTCCTGGTGCAAGACAGGGTGGACATTCCTGGTGCAAGACAGGGTGGACATTCCTGGTGCAAGACAGGGTGGACATTCCTGGTGCAAGACAGGGTGGACATTCCTGGTGCAAGACAGGGTGGACATTCCTGGTGCAAGACAGGGTGGACATTCCTGGTGCAAGACAGGGTGGACATTCCTGGTGCAAGACAGGGTGGACATTTCTGAGACAAGAGAGGATGGACATTCCTGGTGCAAGACAGGGTGGACATTTCTGAGACAAGACAGGGTGGACATTCCTGGTGCAAGACAGGGTGGACATTTCTGAGACAAGACAGGTTGGAGAAATCTGGGACAGTCTAGGGTGGAACATTTTAAGGCAAAAAACAAAGGGAGGGGGATTTCTGAGAAATCTTTGAGTTTCCCTGAACTGATCCAATTCTAGGAAGATAATCAAATCAATCTCAACAAACAAGTTATTTGACCACGTTATGGCTTAACCAACCACCAGTGGTTCTATAGAATACTAAATATATGCACCATGCCAAACAAATTATTATACATCACTAGGGATTATTTACCCCAGTTCACCCCCCCTGCCTTAGATAAACAGCACTAAGATGGACAGCACTACGAGGGACAGCACTAAGGTGGAAAGCACTTAGATGGACATCACTAAGATGGACATCACTAAGATGAACAGATCTAAGATGGACACTACTTAGATGGACAGCACTTAGATGGAGAGCACTAAGATGGACAGTACTATGATGGATAGAACTAAGATGGGCAGCACTAAGATGGACAGTACTATGATGGATAGAACTAAGATGGGCAGCACTAAGATGGACATCACTAAGATGGACAGATCTAAGATGGACAGTACTATGATGGATAGAACTAAGATGGGCAGCACTAAGATGGACAGTACTATGATGGATAGAACTAAGATGGGCAGCACTAAGATGGACATCACTAAGATGGACAGATCTAAGATGGACAGTACTTAGATGGATAGCACTTAGATGGACAGCACTAAGATGGACAGCACTAAGATGGACAGCAATAAGATGGACGGAATTAACATGGACAGCATTTAGATGGACAGCACTAAGATGGATAGCACTTAGATGGACAGCACTTAAATGACAGCACTTAGATGGACAGCACTTAGATGGACAGCACTTTTTTTTCTATCATCATCTCTCTCCCTCCCCCTCTCTCTTTCCCTCTTCCTTTCTCCCTCTCTATCTCCCTTTTTGTCTTCCTCACGCTCCCTCTCACTTTTTCATTCTCTCCCACTCCATCTCTCTCTTTTTCTGACATTGACAGACAGATAGTCCTTAGCTCTCTGTGATCTCGTGATGAAGTAAACTAAGTCCTGTGATTAAAGCATTGAAATATTATTGGCTTTCAGTTGTTTGTTATCAATATAAATATTGAATAGTCAACAATAATCTAACAAAAAATTTTAACTGTAAATTGTTGTACTTATTTTATACACTAGTCCATAATTTTAAAAACCTTGAATCTGATATCAAGTATTCTTATTGGCCCATTTATTATAAAATGAGATTCTACTTGTTGGAACAATACAAATTATATTCAAGGAAACTCCAGAACTTAATTTAGTGAAAAACTTCATTTATTCAATCCCTACAATATGTTACACTGGTAGCCTGATATATTACAATGGTAGCCGGAAGTCTGATATATTACAATAGTAGCCTCACCGTGCGGTGGACATATAAATATAAGGTCATAAAAAACATGAATGATAAATATTGTATAAAATTACATCATATTTGGTAAAAGCATTAGGAAATCTATAAATTTGTAGTTGACAAGTGGAGATCATCTTATAAACAACCTTTTTTTCAGCTTCTACTTGATAACAGATAATCTTTTGTATCTGTTCATCCAAAATTATGTCTCTTAAAAATTATATTGATTTATTATAATAATAAGCTCAGAGCCATATTTTTCTTATGAAAAGATTTAAAATTGTCATGACTCTATTTTTCTGTGATTAAAACTTGAGCCTAATTTAAAGAATTAATAATGGTAATATTAATACGACAAGTGCTTATCCACAAACAGAAAGAGGGCGCAGTGTTTTTGCCTGACATAAAATCTGTGATTATTTCCCTTTGACATATTGCCAAAATTGTTATTTTAAAAAATCATAAAATGGTTTTATTTGGGTGACAAGAAATATTTTTGATATCCCATGTATGATCTATTTTTAAATGGATAAATTGGGTTGGATATTGTAAACATTTATAACCAGAAGTAAGCAATGACATAAACAGAATAAAATAGTTTTGAATATCCGATTCTAAAAATAGGGAAACAGATGTAGTGATAAGTTATTTAAGTAATGCATAGCCTCTAAGAAAACGAAGGACTAGGTATTAAAAAAAAAAATGTCTCCTGTTTTTAGAGTTTAAAAAGACATAGAATAAATAATATTTAGGAACCAATGAAAAGATCTTTTTTTAAAATTTTATTTCATTTTCATTAAAACAATGATATTTCAATAAAATGTCTAAAATTATATTTTTATATCCAAAATTTACAACAAATAACTCCAGGGGGTCGTTCCAAATATACTGAGACTCAGTTTATCTTAGCTAGATTATTTAGTAGGAAAAAATTCACTAAATTGAATCAAACTTTTCTCAGGACAAACTACTTTAAGAACCCAGCAATAATGTTTCAAAACCCTAACAATATTACATTCATCTCCCTAGTAATATGTCATTAACTGGGTCAACTAAAACAATGTTGCATTCATCTCCCTAGTAATATGTCAATAACTGGGTCAACTAAAACAATTTTGCATTCATCTACCTAGTAATAAGTCATTAACTGGGTCAACTAACACAAACAAATAACCACATAATCAACTAGTGCAAAGATTAATCTTTAACAATTAAAAATTAATAAAGTTCAGAATAATGCAGAATACTGTAAATAATTTGTAAAACCAATTCAAAACAGAATTTGTAAGAAATCAAAACACAAAGTTTTTCATTTCAAAAGTTTTAGATATAAAGTAATAATGGGCAGTGTCATAATTGACTTCACATCAGCGAAGAGATAAAAGACCTTTTCTTACCCTTTCTTGCTCCAATTATTTCAAAATTTAAAAAAAAACAGCCAATAAAACGAATGTTGATAAACCACTACATATTGAATGGTACAACATTTGTTATGTTTAGTCAAATTACCTGTGATGACAGTTCCAATATTTATAATCTGTGCAAGTTGGGGAAACATTAATGTGCAAATGTCGATTCAATTTTGATTCAATTTTACACCGAGATTCTGTAACAAATTAGATCAGAGCCTACCAGGTGGTTATACTTTTTTTTTTTAAATGACACCATTTCATTTTTTTGAAGTCCTATTAATGGAGCTATTAAATAGTAATCTTATTTTTTTTTTGGCAGCTGAGATACATCCCAGATGGAAAAATATTGAGGCTTAATGTGAGAACCAGCTGATATCTATATATTAAAAATAAATTAAATAACACATACACCGAACCTATTTCTAGAGTAGATAAAACTTATAGCAAATGAGAAAATCAAGAAATTATGTTTAAAGTCAGGACAATGTCAATTAATTATTGTGTATATTATAAGTAAGTACATATAAGTATTCAAAATTTTTCACATATAAAAGTATAGGAATATCATATTTTCAAGAAATGTATATACAAGTAGAATATTTTATAAGTAAAAATTATCACAGATTTCATGAGTGCTGATTTCTTACAATGGCCAACCACAGGTCATAGCAGTAGATGATAGCCAACCCTTGGTCAGATGAGGAGATGATAGCCAAACATTGGTGAGATGAGGAGATGATAGCCAACCCTTGGTCATAGTATTAGATGATAGCCAACACTTGGTCCTAGAATTAATGATAACCAACCATTGGCCATGGGAGTAGGTGATAGCCAAAATTTGGTCAATGGAGTAACCATGCTTCTTAAATTATGAAATACAAGAGAGCGTCTCTCCCAATGAAGTCAAGAGAGCGTCTCTCCCAATGAAGACAAGAGAGCGTCTCTCCCAATGAAGACATTAAAACGTCTCTCTTAATGAGGACAATAGAATGTCTCTCCCACAGGTAACCAGACTTACAATAAACCAAATTTAAATCATTTAGATTTCGGGTAAATTTATGTTTCTCCTAATGAAGACATTAAAACTTCTCTCCCTTAGGTATTGAAAAATCATTTTAATTAGGTATTTAATAGTATTTCTCTCCCTTGGGTAAACTGGAACTTGTGTTCCTCCTAATTAAGGCCTCGTTCTGTTTATCCTCTTCATAGCGCTGTCGTAACTTGTCCAGGTCCAAAACGTCCATCTCCTTCTGTTTGGTGACTTGCCTTGGACTTGGTGTTGTGTATTTCTGTGTCCCTGGTCCCAGCATGTCCCCAGGTTTCCTGTGGTGTTTGGCTATAGGGGACTTCTCAGACGCCAGTTCATAATTGTTGTATTCATTAGGCTGGGGCTTGGCCACAGGTTTAGGAACAGACTTGGCATACTCCACAGCCTAGAGTGGTCAACATTGAGTGCATTTTAAAATTACATTCAAAAGTGAGTCAATTATATAGAATAGAAGACAGCCCAAAGAAAAACTATTGTATAACATATGGAAACAACATTGACAAACTCAACAGCCCATGACTGTTAAATTTGGTACAATTTAATAAAACTAGGGCTTAACTGGGTGCAGTTTTGTACATTGGGTTGGGACATTTTGAGAAAAATACCTGGTAGGTGCAAGTGTTGCAAAAAAAAGAGTTCACTTCTCATTTTCTATAATGTATGCCGGCCTTTAAACAATATTCATACAGGCAGTCCCACACCATTTTCTTTCACTCAGTTATTTTTATTGTTCGTCCGTCAAAGATCGACGATAACCATTGAGTCGTCTGGTGACTGATGACTTGTGCGGGTGACTTTTGTTTAAAGTGAAGAAGAGTTGCGCTGCGTCAACCTCACTCTCTTTTCCGGACCAACCATATCCAGTGGCAGGATTCTACAACAAGACAACCAGGGATGGGTACGGCTGCAGGAATTGTCATTGTATGCACCTTATGGGACTCCAACTCCAGGTTTGAATTCAGGGTTTCCTTCTCTTAGATGAGTTGCAGACCAAGGTTAACGATTCTCATCCACCCGGGATGAAGTTTTGCATTGACTGCTCTTTTGGCTGGATTTAAACTCCAGATCACCAACTTGAGGTTGTCTCAGTATAGACCATTCAGCCATCCATTCATCTTATTTCACTCAGTACTATTAATATAAACCGTGTTAAGCAGGGGGAGGGCCAGTTGTGAAAAGGAAGCAGCCACACCAGAAGCAAGATATATATTAGAGATAATTACTATTTTAATAAATATTCTGTCCCTACTCAATATCACTGTCCATTAAAAAACAAAATAAAATTTTAGAGATCATCATATGAAACAAAATAACATGTTGAAAGACTGTGTAAATAAAAGTGGATTAATCACTTTACGTCTGTTTAGTATGTCAAATGACTCACCACTTTACGTCTGTTTAGTATGTCAAATGGACTCACCACTTTAAGTCTGTTTAGTATGTCAAATGGACTCACTACTTTACGTCTGTTTAGTATGTCAAATGGACTCACCACTTTACATCTGTTTAGTATGTCAAATGGACTCACTACTTTACGTCTGTTTAGTATGTCAAATGGACTCACTACTTTACGTCTGTTTAGTATGTCAAATGGACTCACCACTTTACGTCTGTTTAGTATGTCAAATGGACTCACCACTTTACGTCTGTTTAGTATGTCATTCTCCTCCTTTGGTCTGGGAAATGCCGGGGGTTTTCTATGAGCCAGGTCATTTTTATTTCTTTCCATGACCACCTTGGCATATTCACTTTGTCTTTGGAACTTTTCTCTCTAAACAATTCAAGTTAATCTTTTCATTTTAAAATACTCAAGGCCTAAATGAGACAAACGGGTTATCAAAGTCATGTAAACAGAAATAAAATGTAACCTTTTTTAATCTAAAGGTTTCTAAGAAAAACGATTTCCCTTTGAAAAGTAAGTAAATTAATATTTTAAAAATAACAGTGTTCATTACATGTTTCAAAAAATGATGTTAAGATATAAATAAATCATTTCTCTGCAATAATCTTTTGTTTCATAGTTGGCATGATATTGAAACTCTGTTTTCCTACCAGAACAAAGAAATCTTCTACAAAAAAGTCATTTAATTATTCAAAGTGATGAAATAAATTGCTCATTATTCATTGAAGTCAAAATCATGTATCGGCAAAATTTAAAATAAAATATGCTCAAAGAAGTACACAGGTGATTGCAACATTTCCAACATCCAAACCTCTCTTTCATAGTGTTACTGTCCAAGTACGACTTACCCTCTTTTTGATAGAATCACTGTCCAAGTTTGCATTACCCACTCATTGACAGTGTCACTGTCCAGGTCTGAATTACCCCTTCTTTGATAGCCTTACTATCCAAGTCAAAATTATCTCCTCTTTGATAGTGTCCCTTTCCAAGTCTGAATTACCCTCTTACCCTCTCTTTGATAGCATTACTGTCCAAGTAAGACTTACCCTCTCTTTGATAGCATTACTGTCCAAGTAAGACTTACCCTCTCTTTGATAGCATTACTGTCCAAGTAAGACTTACCCTCTCTTTGATAGCATTACTGTCCAAGTAAGACTTACTCTCTCTTTGATAGCATCACTGTCCAAGTAAGACTTACCCTCTCTTTGATAGCGTCACTGTCCAAGTCGGGACCCAATGTCCCAAGTCTGACTTCCTTCTGCATCTTACGGTAATCTTTGAGGCCGTAAACTCTGTACCATGGCTTCTCATTATCTTTCCCTTTCTGTTTCCTGTACATGTCGATGTAGCTGCCACCCTGTGCAACAACAACAACTGAGGTTAACAACTGAGAGGAGGAGAAGTTGTAGAAATATTAACCTTGCTAGGAGGGGAAGTGGAAGCAATGTTAACCTTGTTCGGAGGGCAAATGGAAGCAATGTTAACCTTGTTAGGAGGGCAAATGGAAGCAATGTTAACCTTGTTAGTAGGGCAAATGGAAGCAATGTTAACCTTGTTAGGAGGGCAAATGGAAGCAATGTTAACCTTGTTAGGAGGGCAAATGGAAGCAATGTTAACCTTGTTAGGAGGGCAAGTGGAAGCAATGTTTCATCAAAAAGTGATATCACATCTTTATATTAATAAACATTTAAAAAAATTTTAAAATTTTAGTTTTCAAATAAAATGAAGTAAGGGTCAGTGAAAATCATTGACAATAAGAGAAATGACCATAAGGGTCAGTGAAGATATTTGGCGAAAAGAGAATACGACTGTAATGGTCAGTGAAAATATTTGACAAAAATAGAATATGACATGAGGTGGATATCATGATAGTAAGTATGAAAATTTTTCACATTTGAAGGTTGAAATGTTTGGATAGTAAATGTGGAATAATTTTCATAGGTCGAGGTATTGTAGGTCAAGATTTAATATAGAATACTTTTCATAGATATTGTATGACAAGATTTAACACTGAATAATTGTCGGTCAAGAGTTAATGCAGAATGAGAGGATGATTGTTATATAATTTGTCTCTGTTAACTTGAAAACTAATAAGACAAGAAAAACAATTTCCATTTCGTTGAAAAAATTCTGAATAACTAATACATAAACCTCTGATAAATTACAAGAGTATTAAACAATTTTCTGAAATGTGAGAAATCTCACCTGGTCAGATAACAGAACCAACTTTCAACAAATATACAACAGTTCTCACCTGGTCAGGTAATACAACCAACTCTCAATAAACACACAATTCTCACCTGGTCAGGTAAAGGTGCAGATGAAGGGTGACCAGGGTCGCTGCTCCTGGGAGGTATTGGTGGTATCTTGCCGTATGGATTCATTTCTGTACGTGACTCACTGAGTGCCCTGAGTGCTTCATCTGCTGAGTACCGTTCTCTGGGGGACACGTAGCTATAGTCTTCTTTACCATAGTCTGCAGAGCTGTACTCCTGATATGTGGAAATATAAGACAGACATAGCTAGAGTCTTCTTTACCATAGTCTGCAGAGCTGTACTCCTGATAGATGGAAATATAAGACAGACATAGCTAGAGTCTCCTTTACCATAGTCTGGCTGAAGGAAGGTACCCATGATAGAAGAGAAATAAAAAACTATACCATCATAGAAGGGAAATTAAAAAAAACTATACCATGATAGAAGGGAAATAAAAAAAAACTATACCATCATAGAAGGGAAATATCAAACTATACCATGATAGAAGGGAAATATCAAACTATACCATGATAGAAGGGAAATTAAAAAAAACTATACCATCATAGAAGGGAAATATCAAACTATACCATGATAGAAGGGAAATAAAAAAAAACTATACCATCATAGAAGGGAAATATCAAACTATACCATGATAGAAGGGAAATAAAAAAAAACTATACCATCATAGAAGGGAAATTAAAAAAAACTATACCATCATAGAAGGGAAATATCAAACTATACCATGATAGAAGGGAAATAAAAAAAAAACTACACCATGATAGAAGGGAAATATAGACCATGGAAAGATGAGAAGAAGCAGTCTTACCATTTCAACAGATCATAAGAATTTACCACTACAATAGATCAGAATTATGTAAAACTACAATACACCATGACACTGTACCATTAAAATAGGAAATAAGACTGTACTGGTACCACGACAATAGATCAAATAAATAAACAACCACAATAGACCAGAAGGTACTACACAAATTGATCATATAATGGTACCACTATAATATACCATATAAAAGTACGTCAACAATAGACCATGACACTGTGACAATAATTACTTAATTATTGAACTTTTCGATTTTTTAACAGCTCTGTAAATGTGTACAGACTGGTGAACAAAATAACTTGTATATCTTTAAGGCCTAACTTTACCCCCGAAAGAATTAGCCTGGATCGAGCTGATCTTAGGAATCTGTGCACTGTCTGTGGTGACGTATTATTTGATATTGTCTGTGGTGACGTATTATTTGATATTGTCTGTGGTGACGTATTGTTTGATACTGTGTTTTGTGACGCCTTATTTGATACTGTCTGGGTTGACGTATTATTTGATAATGTCTGTGGTGACGTATTATTTGATACTGTTTGTGGTGATGTATTATTTGATACTGTCTGTGGTGACGTATTGTTTGATACTGTGTTTTGTGACGCCTTATTTGATACTGTCTGGGTTAAGGTATTATTTGATAATGTCTGTGGTGACGTATTATTTGATACTGTTTGTGGTGATGTATTATTTGATACTGTCTTTGGTGCCATATTATTTGATACTGTCTGTGGTGACGTATTATTTGATACTGCCTGTAGTGACGTATTATTTGATACTGTCTGTGGTGACGTATTGTTTGATACTGTGTTTTGTGACGCCTTATTTGATAATGTCTTTGGTGCCATCTTATTTGCTACTTTCTGTGGTGACGTCTTATTTAACACTGTATTTGGTAAGGTCTTCTTTATACTGTCTTCGGTGAAGTCTTATTTAATACTGTCTTCGATGAAGTCTTCTTTAATACTGTCTTCGGTGACGTCTTATTTAATACTGGCTTCGGAGACGTTTTATTTGATACTGTCTTTGCTGCTGTCTTATTTGATACTGTGTTTTGTGACGCCTTATTTGATACTGTCTTTGGTGCCATCTTATTTGATACTGTTGTTGGTGCTATTATCTTAAGTATAAAGATATTATCTTAGTGTCACAAAAATTTACAATTGTCCTACCATCAGAACTACTTTAGTTTGCAACAATGTTAAGCTTGTGTTGAGGGTGGCTTATAGTGATTATTTCTCAGGTCTGACTTTGACAGCACCATTCAATGGAAAAATTGTAGGAATCTGACAAAGGGCATTAGGTGCATTCCTATACAAAGCCGTTATTGAAGAAATGTATCACAGGTCTTCTCAAAATGTATCATAGGTGTTCTCAAAATGTATCATAGGTGTTCTCAAAATGTATCATAGGTGTTCTCAAAATGTATCATAGGTGTTCTCAAAATGTATCATAGGTGTTCTCAAAATGTATCATAGGTGTTCTCAAAAGATTCGAGTTTTTCTAATATTTTGGAGACGAATAATACGTTTATTAGATTTGTTTTCATCTTTTTATATGGAAAAGCGTGCTTAGACATTCTTGAAATGTAAGAATAGATGTTAAGGGATAACCCATTTTCTAAACTTGACAAGAAAGAATAGATACTGAGAGGCAACCCATAATCTAAACCTGACATGTAAGAATAGATGTTGAGGGAAAACCTGTATTCTAAACTATACTTTTCAGAAACTATTGCTATTGCCGAAATCAGAATTGTATGTAATAAAGGGCTGTTATTGTATAATTTGAGAGCCTCGAATATATCAACACTCATCTAGTTAAAGCCTCTCGATCCATGGATATAAAAAAACTGCGCCTGGATTACCTGGATATTCGAAATATTGTACAACGGGGACGTTGGGGTGGGGGGCGGACCACTGTGACAGCAAATCGATAGTATTGATTTTCGTATAGCAAATTAAAGCCATCGATCTGATATTGCCACCTACCAAACATGCCAAATACAGTAAACATTCCCAAGGATGAACACGTTCAAAGTGGCACACTAAATTATGCCGATGATTAACATTGAAACAACACACTGACTGCGCTTCCACTTAATGCATTCATTCTATCATTTCATGATTATAATAATACATTCACTGCACCTTCACAAGTTTCATTCATTACATGATTTCATTTATTCGAATCTGACAAATGGTATTAGGTGCATTCCTATACAAAGCCGTTATTGAAGAAATGTTACACGTCTCGATTTCATGGAAACACAAAATAAAGGTTTCTACAGTATGCGGGACTCTAACGACAAAGGTTAATATATTCATTTTCTAAGGTGGTCTCGTGCTCAGTTTGTAAGCAATTGTTTTCCTTCTGACGGCGAGGCAATGTTAACAAAATTCATGAAACAACAGATTGTTTACACAATGAACCCACACATTTTATCCTGCTATCAAAATTAGTTCTTGACAGACGATATAAATGGATCCTGAATTGCTGATGGTGTCTTGTGATGGTTCATGTGGTGGATTGTTGGTGTGGTGGTTCATGGGGTGATTTGTTAGTGTGGTGGTTCATGTGGTGGATTGTTGGTGTGGTGGTTCATGGGGTGGATTGTTGGTGTGATGGTTCATGGGGTGGGTTGTTGGTGTGGTGGTTCAATGGGTGGATTGTTGGTGCGGTGGTTCATTGGGTGGATTGTTGGTGTGGTGGTTTATGGGGTGGATTGTTGGTGTGATGGTTCATGGGGTGGGTTGTTGGTGTGGTGGTTCATTGAGTGGATTGTTGGTGCGGTGGTTCATGGGGTGGATTGTTGGTGCGGTGGTTCATGGGGTGGATTGTTGGTGTGGTGGTTCATGGGGTGGATTGTTGATGCGGTGGTTCATGTAGTGGATTGTTGGTGTGGTGGTTCATGTAGTGGATTGTTGGTGTGGTGGTTCATGGGGTGGATTGTTGGTGTGGTGGTTCATGGGGTGGATTGTTGGTGTGGTGGTTCATGGGGTGGATTGTTGATGCGGTGGTTCATGTAGTGGATTGTTGGTGTGGTGGTTCATGTAGTGGATTGTTGGTGTGGTGGTTCATGGGGTGGATTGTTGGTGCAGTGGTTACTGTGTGGTTTTAGTGTGGTGGTTCATGGGGTGAATTGTTGGTGAGGTGGTTCATGTAGTGGATTGTTGGTGTGGTGGTTCATGTGGTGGATTGTTGGTGTGGTGGCTCATGGGGTGGATTGTTGGTGTGGTGGTTCTTGTGGTGGATTGTTGGTGTGGTGGTTCATGGGGTTGATTGTTGATGCGGTGATTACTGTGTGGTTTTGGTGGGGTGGTTTCAGTGATTTGGTGTTGGTGGGGTGGTTACAGCCTGAATTTAGGCGCCCTCTTCCCAAAAAGGTAAACATCAATACACATCGTATGCCTGACCAATGATAATAGTGGCTCCCATCAAGATGGTGTCCTAGGGACTTTAATTAGATAAAAGATGATAGAAGTAATATAACAAAATATTTTGACCATAATATTAATAGAAAACATCATATGTATTGAAAAATATTTTATCCTGAATATTGTTCAGTCTTCAAGTAATTTTCATCTAACTTACCAGAGCCTGCAAGCCGTTGTTGTAGTTTTCATTGTCAAACTGTGTGACAGCGGGGTATTGCCTCCCTCGGCCAGCACCCCCGTAGTAGGCAGGGGGGTGGTGAGGAGGAGGGTCCTGGTAGGGTTGATACTGATGGGATGGCGAAATAAGCTTTAGGTTCACATCTACGCTTATCCGCTGTCCGTCGTCCAAAATAATTTGTGAGGACACTGGTAGCACCTGGATGTCTGAATGTCGGGGTGACATTGGAAGTGAGACCTGAGGTCAGGGACAAGGAGTGTTGGTCAAATGTATATCTTAATTGGTGCTCAATGTTGGTAGCAAGATTAAAATATTTAAAATATTGTTATAAATAAATCAGGCAAAGTCAAACGAGGTCAATGGGAGGAGCCTGAAAAGGTGTTGAAACAAAACAAGAAAGGTATGTGCAAGATGCCTTCTCTAGCTAACGATATAACAATTAAAATAAAAACTTCGCTTAAATTGTATGTCCAGTATGAAGAATTTAATAGATTTAGAACCATGACAGACATTTATGCTATAGATTTAGACCATGTCAGACACTCATGCCATAGATTTAGACCATTTCAGACACTCCCTCCATAGATTTAGACCATCTCAGACACTTAGTCCATAGATTTAGACCATGTCAGACACTCAGTCCATAGAATTAGACCATGTCAGACACTCAATCCATAGATTAAGACCATCTTAGACACTCATTCCATAGATTTAGACCATCTCAGACACTCAGTCCATAGATTTAGACCATCTCAGACACTCATTTCATAGATTTAGATCATGTCAGACACTCATTCTATAGATTTAGACCATCTCAGACACTATGTCCATAGATTTGGACCATCTCAGAAACTCATTCCATAGAATTAGACCATCTCAGAAACTAATTCCAAAGATTTAGACCATCTTAGACACTCAGTCCATAGATTTAGACCATGTCAGACAATCATTCCAAAGATTTAGACCATGTCAGACACTCAGTCCATAAATTTAGATATCTCAGACACTCAGTCCATAGATTTAGACCATGTCAGACACTCATGTCATAGATTTAGACCATTTCAGACACTCACTTCATAGATTTAGACCATCTCAGACACTCATTCCATAGATTTAGACCATGTCAGACACTAATTATATAGATTTAGAGCATCTCAGACACTCAGTCTATAGATTTAGACCATCTCAGAAACTCATTCCATAAATTTAGACCATCTCAGAAACTCATTCCATAGATTTAGACCATCTCAGACACTCAGTCCATAGATTTAGACCATCTCAGAAACTCATTATATAGATTTAGACCATCTCAGAAACTCATTCCATAGATTTAGACCATCTCAGACACTCAGTCCATAGATTTAGACCATGTCAGACACTCAGTCCATAGATTTAGACCATGTCAGACAATCATTCCGAAGATTTAGATCATGTCAGACACTCAGTCCATATATTTAGACCATGTCAGACACTCAGTCCATAGATTAAACCATCTCAGACACTCAGTCCATAGACTTAGACCATCTAAGACACTCAGTCCATAGATTTAGACCATCTCAGACACTCAGTCCATAGATTTAGACCATGTCAGACACTATGTCCATAGATTTAGACCATGTCAGACACTCAGTCCATAGATTTAGACCATCTCAGACACTCAGTCCATAGATTTAGACCATGTCAGACACTCACTTGGTTATGAAGTGAACTTTCCTGGCTAGGGGGTGTAGGCATTTCTGTCATGAAAGCTCTTCTGTCTGGAGGTAGCTGCTGAGGTCGTATCTTTGGAAACCAAAGGTCAAAGAATTAGTTTCTCCCAATGCATCTCCCAATGCAAATACAACAATAGTTTTTATAATTAATACTGTTATAAATATGAAAAATTTTAGTATCAAGAATAAATTTAATGAAAGCTGTGTCAAGTAAGCCACTGCTTTATACCATTGAAAATAAATGTTCTGCCTTGCCCTTTATAATATCATAAAAAATAACTATATCTAGCCAAGAAGTTGGAAGGCTGGTCATTTAATGGTCAAATGCTTGAGGCCACACTAATATCTGGATATTGTGTTGTCTTAACATTAAAATTTAAACAAAATAAGGGAAGAAGACACGATAAAGTCTATAAGTCAATGTAAGTGATGTAAGTCTATAAGTCAATGTAAGTGATGTAAGTCTATAAGTCAACGTAATAGGGAGTTTTGACTCAAAGCTATATCACAAGTAGTTTAATGCTATGATATAAATAATATACAGCATAAACAAACTTGAAATGTTGGGGCCTACCTGATTTAATGAGGAATCACTGTTGTACTTCTGCAGTCCGCCAGGGCCCCCTCTTTGTTTCCCTCTACCATTTTTATGGTCAAATCTTTTGGCTAGGGATGCTGACCTTTGGGCCCACACCTGACATGATTAAGAGGGTCATGATTGTGATATGATTGAGAAAACCCAATTATGATATGATTGATTACTAAAGTAAGCTCAAACTGTGACTTTCTTGGTCCAGTGATATAATTCCAGTCAAGAATTGCTCCATATTTATGTATTTCATCTTTCTAATGATAAATAAATAATTTCAATATAATGGTTAGCCATCGTCTCCATTTAATTTAAGAAGTTTTATTGCTGGCATCATACACCTGATGGCCCCATCTCGCAGGGACTTTCATGATATTCTAAGTGAACAAGTACCATCACTCTGTCATGTAAGGCATAGCAGAGTTGTGTAACGTGTTTAGGTTTTGACTACTTCTAACAAGTAGGACATGACTTTTAATAATGATACATATTGGTGTGAGCAAAGAGAGGAAGCCACAAGCTGTTATGCTAAAAATAAACTGTGGGTCAAAGTTGATAAGTTCAGCTGTTAACACTATTTGGTAGCTATGCTGTTCACTGTTACATTCAGGCCAGGTGGTCAGCAAAACATGTTTAAAAACTTACAATTTTAAGGATAACATTCATAAACATGTAACTTTCCACCAAGAATGTTGTTAAAGTAGCTTTATGAACATTTGTTATCTCTAACTATTCCTTGTATGTCAGCACTGTCTTTTAAAGTAGCTCTATGAACATTTGTTATCTCTAGCTATTCCTTGTATGTCAGCACTGTCTTTTAAAGTAGCTCTATGAACATTTGTTATTTCTAGCTATTCCTTGTATGTCAGCACTGTCTTTTAAAGTAGCTCTATGAACATTTGTTATCTCTAGCTATTCCTTGTATTTCAGCACTGTCTTTTAAAGTAGCTCTATGAACATTTGTTATCTCTAGCTATTCCTTGTATGTCAGCCCTGTCTTTAAAAGTAGCTCTATGAACATTTGTTATCTCTAGCTATTCCTTGTATGTCAGCCCTGTCTTTTAAAGTAGCTCTATGAACATTTGTTATCTCTAGCTATTCCTTGTATGTTAGCACTGTCTTTTAAAGTAGCTCTATGAACATTTGTTATCTCTAGCTATTCCTTGCATGTCAACACTGTCTTTAAAAGTACATCCATGAACTTTGTTATCTCTAACTATTCCTTGCATGTCAGCCCTGTCCATGAACTGAACATTTTTTGTGTCAACTTTAAATTAAACATCATCCAATAAATAACTTGATTTGTTACAATTTATTTCTGCTTGTTAACATGTTAAAGGTCCTAACTTTCTTCAGAATCAATGCTCAGATATGTTGCGTTAGATTTCCTATAAAATATATTATTATATTTGTATATTTAGAAAAGTTTAACTTTATATCTAATATTTGTATGTTTGGCCATTCTGATCTATTATATTTGTATATTTAGCCAATCTGGTCTACTATTATAATTGTATGTTGTGCTAATTCTGTTCTATTACATTTGTAAGTTCTGTTCTATAATATTTGCATGTTTGGCCATTCTGTTCTACTATTATATTTGTATGTTTGGTCATTCTGTTCTAGTATTTTTCTGTTCTATTATATTTGTATGTACTGAACATAATCATTTCCATTTTATACAGAGTACAAGGGGAAACAATTCTTACCTGCTCAGCAGGACTCATCTCCCTGTACTCATCATCTCGTTGATTAGGATCAATGTTTTCTGTGCCCCTGTGGCTACCCTGACCTTCACCTTTCTTTTTGAGAATGCCCGCCTTGGGTTTTGGCTTAGGATGTATGAAGATCTCATTGAGTTTTTCCTTCTCTTCCTTGGTCACTTCGTGTATGTGTGTGTAGGACTTGGGCTGGGGCTTGCCATAGTCCTCCTTGTTGTTGTTCACATAATCATATTTGGGAGGTTTGGGCTGGACGGCCTCCATGGGTTCCTCCTCAACAGGTTTTGTGAGCCTCTGTGACCCAGGCTGCGTGCTATTGTGGTCATTGCGGCCAGCTAGACTCTGTTGGGGGTATCTTGGCGTGTTTTCTTGCCGATTGTTATACTCACTTCTGGCCGTAGTGTTGACATCGACATATCTGTCACTGTCCATGACGTCATTTCTCTGGTTGGCATCCAGCTGGGGTTTGTAAAACCTCTGCTGCACCTGCGGGTTGACACGCTGATGCCGAATGTCCTCATAGTCCACATAATCTTCACTGTCAAAGTTCACATTATTTAAACGAGCATTTACGGGTTGTTGCGGGTTGCCTGAAAATGCCTGAGGTAGGGGTGGAGGATTGCGGAACTGATTTTTCTGTAAGTCAAAACTGTCGGAAGGGTCGGGTCTAAAGGCTTCAACAAACGCCCTGGCCGTGGCGTCATCATTGTAGTAGTCCAGGGAGTCCCTGGCAAAGTCTTGAGACCCGTCCTGCCCGTGGTTTAAAGGAACTTTGGGTATCTCCACCTCTTGGACCTTCTTGAGGCCATCCTCAACACGCATTCGTAACCCTGGAAACAAGGGAAGTCATTAATGAGAACAACTTACCTAATTTTTTTGTCAGTTAAAAGAAATCTACAAGATAAAATATGTTTATTTTACTCAAATGGAATTACAACAATAGGGCCTACATACAAAGAAAAAACCTTAAATTCTAGCATTTAGGCCTCGAGATCGTCAAGAAATGTTACCCTAGAATTTCTACTAGAACTTAATGTCTAGCGTTTAGGCTTAAAAAATATCTACCTAGAATATCTACTAGGACTTATTGTCTAACGTTTAGGCTTAAAAAATATCTACCTAGAATATCTGCTAGGACTTATTGTCTAGCCCAGTGGTCGGCAAATTCATTAGTCAAAGTCAAAGCCAAAGCTCAGCAGCAGGACGATTAAACAAATTTTGAGAGCCTAATTTCTTTTCAATAACCTGTCAAGAACCATTTTTTTCGGAGTCAAAACCGATTTATGGCCGAGCCGCATTCAGGTCGCTAAAGAACCACATGCGGCTCGCGAGCCACGATTTTCCAACCACTGGTCTAGCATATAGGTCTCAGAAATGTCAACCTAGAGTAGAATAGCTACTAGGATTTATTTTCTTCTAGTTGAATAAAGAAAATAAGTGATTGAGTCACACAATTTCCCATATCAAAACAATTTAAAGACTAAGTTTGATTATGAGAGTATGGAAGAGTTTTCTCCCTTCAGGTGAACAGTGATAAGAGTTTCAACACACACTATAATTCTACATTGGTCTCAAAGATTTAGTCTTGCCTCAGACTTTAGGAGTTTCAACACAATTATGAGATTGAAAACACAGTCAAGTGTTAACCATGTCAGTATCTTTCGTCTAACCAAACAGGCAAAGCTGGAATGTGGCATTAGATTTGTTTGCCACTTGAACCAACATTTTCTTTAAATCAAAAGATAAACATATTGATCTGTGATGATTTTTATTTATAAACAGACTGGTTGCCAGTGGCATTTTGTCTTACAAGACAATCAATCAATGACAGAGAACAATTTTATTTATTTATTTATTTAGGCATTTTTTATATAGCGCTTACCTTAAAGCTCTAAGCGCTTTACAATGTAAACTAAGTAAAATAAAAATGAGACACTCGGATAGTAACTACTATACTACAGAAACAATTAAAATGGCTATAAAAAGAGGACACTTTGGCACGTTTTGGTACAATTCCTGTCCCAGAGGTGTAAAAATAACTGATTGTTCTCTTGTTTATTCAAAGTAATACATATTTTCTACTAATGTGAGATTTTATTGTCACAATTTAAAAGACTTGAATTCTATACGACACTATCCAAGAAGAAAAAAATCTAGAAAATTTAAAGTTGAATTCAAGTCGTGGACTTTTATCCAATCTATAATTAACTAACATCACAATCACAAACAAGTTTTAAGTTTGTGACAACAGTAAAACGTCAGCTGACACAGCCTGAATGTTAGCAACCGAAACTCAGGATAGAGAACCAATAAACACTTGTCTACTCCTGAAATGTTTCAACTGTTGGACTCGGACATCAAGAACTTGTGTCCTCGTGTAAATAGCAAGACACAATACTAAATCTTGTTTTAGTTGTAGATCAATTAACAAAACATTGATCAAAGTTAAAAGTTACAAAATTGAAATACACATGTAAGAAAATATTCAACTTTAATATCCACAAGTAATTAGAACAACTGCCATCAATGAGGCAATGCTATGCCAGATATCTCTAGATCTTCTACCAATACTCTACCAGATATCACTAGATCTTCTGCCAACTGATAAGTCAAAGCGTGATTGAAGTGCAGAATAAATTCAATTCTGTACTGAGTAATTACAGTTCACTAATCCTCTATAAAATGCGCCAAGGTGTTATGGTGTGTATGAGGTGTTACGGTGTCTATAGGGTGTTAAGGTGTGCATGGGGTGATAGGGTGTGTATGGGTTGTTAGGTTAGGGTGTGTATGGGGTCCTTGGGTGTTTATGGGGTCTTACAGTGTGTATGGGGTGTTGGGGTGTGCATGGGGTGCTAGGGTGTTTATGGGGTATTAGGGTGTGTATGGGGTGCTAGGGTGTTTATGGGGAGTAAGGGTGTGTATGGGGTGTTAGGGTGTGTATGGGTTTTAGGGTGTGTATGAGGTGTTAAGGTGTGTATGGGGTGTAAGGGTGTGTATGGGGTTTTAGAGTGTGTATGAGGTTTGAATGGGGTGTTAGGGTGTGTTTGGGGTGTTAGGGTGTGTATCGGGTTTAAGGGTATGAATGGGGTTTTATTGTGTGTATGGGGTGTTAGGGTGTGTATGGGGTATAAGGGTGTGTATGGGTTTTAAGGGTGTGTATGGGGTATAAGGGTGTGATTGGGGTGTAAGGGAGTGTATGGGGTGTTAGGGTGTTTATGGGGTGTTGGGGTGTGTATGGGGTGCTAGGGTGTGTATGGAGTTTAAGGGTGTGTATGGGGTGTTAGGGTGTGTATGGGGTATTGGGGTGTGCATGTGGTGTTGGGGTGTGTATGGGGTGTTAGGGTGTGAATGGGGTGTAAGGGAGTGTATGGGGTGTTAGAGTGTGTATTGGGTGTTGGGGTGTGTATGGGGTTTAAGGGTTGTATAAGGTGTAAATGGGGTGTTAAGGTGTGTATGGGGTGTTATGATGTGTATGGAATGTTAAGGTGAGCATTGGGTGTAAATTGAGAATGTGGTGATAGGTGTGTTTGGGGTGTTAAGGTGTATATGCGTCATGTTTCACTCTAGTATAAGGGTTTATATGTGGTCATAATGTGAGTATGTAATATGTGTAGTGTGAAGTTGAGCATGAGGTGTGCACAAGCTTAGTTTGCACATGGTACAAGCTTAGTGAGCACACAGCACAAGCTTAGTGTGTACATGGTGCAAGCTTAGTGAGCACACAGCACAAGCTTAGTGCGTACACAGCATAAGCTTAGTGAGTACATGGCACAAGCTTAGTGAGTACACAGCACAAGCTTAATTTGTACATGGTACAACTTCAGTGTGTAAATGGTACAAGCTTATCATGTACATGGTACAAGCAAATTGTGTACATGGCACATGCTAAGTGTGTACATGGTCCAAGCTTTGTGTGTAAATGATACAAGCTTAATGTGTACATGTTACAAGCTTAGTGTATACATGGTACATGTTTAGTGTGTAAATGGTACAAGCTTAGTGTGTAAATGATACAAGCTTAGTGTGTACATGTTAAAAGCTTAGTGTGCACATGGTACAAGTTTAGTGTGTAAATGGTGCATGCTTAGTGTCCACAAGGTACTAGCTTAGTTTGCACATGTTATAAGCTTAGTCTTCACATGGTACAATCTTAGTATGTACATGACACAAGCTTATTGTGTACATGGTACAATCTTATTGTGTAAATAGTACAAGTTTAGTGTGTACATGTCAAAAATTATGTGCATGGCAAAAGATTAGTGTGTACAAGGTACAAGCTTAGTGTGCACATTGTAAAAGCTTAGTGTGCACATGGTACAAGTTTAGTGTGTACATGGTACAATCTTAGTGCACACATTAACCAGCTGAGTGTGTATATGGTACAAGCTTAGTGTGAACATATTACACGCTTTGTGTGTACATGGTACATGCTTAGTGTGTACATAGTACCAGCTTAGTGTGTACATGGTACAAGTTTAGTGTTTACATGGTACAAGTTTAGTACACACATTAAACAGCTTAGTGTGTACATGGTACAAGCTTAGTGTGTATATGGTACAAGTTTAGTGTGCACTTGGTACAAGATTAGTGTGCACATTGGTACAAGAATGTACTGGTATGTAACTGATTTGTTACATTTGGTCAAAGGTCTAAAGACTAATATGTTACTTTGAGACAAGTGTCTATAGAATAATTTATATAAACAAAAATAATTCAGAATCATCCTTACAGTAGAATATTATGATTAACATTAGATCAGTTGTTGTTATCCTTCCTAATGCCGTGACCCTTTTACACAGTTCCTCATGTTGTGGTGGACCCCCAACCACAAAATTAGTTTCGTTTCTTCTTTATAACTGTAGAGAATATGTGTTTTCCGATGGTCTTAGCCCCCCTCCCCCCTTTTTTCTCTCTTTTGAAAGGGCCACTCGACCGCCAAAGGGGTCACGACCCACCGATTGAGAAATTCTTCATTAGAACATAACAACATGTCTTAAATTGCAAAACAAATCTTTAGAATTTGTATTTCGCATTACAAATGGCCTGCTTTTTCAGGCAACATATGAAATTATTTAGTATGTAAGAATAACAAAAGATATTTACCTTGTTGGTAAGAGGTTTCTCGTTGCAGATCTTCTTCATCTCGTGGATCATATGACGGACCAGTGGGTAGTGAGATACCTCTTGCTCGTGTTTGACGATGTGGTAGCTGGTTGGGTTGAGGTGGCTGTGAGGTGCTGCCGGGTTGCTGAAGAAATTGTGGATTATGGCTGATGATGCGTCCCTGCTGTGGGTTCCTGGATTCAACATCTGACCCAGTTCCAAAGTCTTGGGGCCTGTGGGCAGTTATGTTGCTGCTGTCTTGCTGTTGGCCTGACCAGGTAGTCCCATCTTTAGGATATGTGTTTAAGTGTAAATCAGATCTATTCGGACCACTCATTTGCATTCCATAAGGATTAAACATATCAGCATTGTCAGATTTCCCGTTGCTGCCAACTCCATTCACTCCCTTGTCCCTGTCTTCATACCGTCCACCATCATTATAAGAAACACGTTTTTCCGAGGGGATTTTCGCTCCCCCGCCATAGTTCTCCTGGCTCTGTATGGCCGCCAAGTCCAGCTCTCTGTAAGTGTCCAACCTGTCGTCATCCGCACCATCCAGTCGGCTGTTCACCAACCTGTACATCCCCTCTTCATCGTCCGAGAATGTTGGTGATGTCACGTAAACTTTGTTGGCTGAGGACGTGACCCTGCCTGGGTTTCGGGTAGCTGATGTGGCTGTCATTACGTTGGTGTCTGGTCTAAACTGTGCCTGCGAGTTCTGGGACAGTCTGCCGGAGGTTTTCGCAGACGACTGCCTGGACTGTCGAGATTTGTTGGGATCAGATTTAAGGATGAATACAGCCTTCTCTTTCCCTGCGCCTGTTGTGTTGCTGCTTTGACTGTTGCCAAAAGTAAATATTTTTGGTTTCTCTTTGTTGGTGTTTATGATGGGGGTCAACTCTGAGCTGTTGTTTGTATCTCCATCATGGCTGGTACTATGGAAGTACTCTCCTTGGGCTGTCTGAGCAGATGGCGTACGAGATGGTAAATGAGATGGTGGTGGTGTATGAGGGGATTTCAGAATAAGTTTAGAGTTGTCAGTTTCCACAAACGGTGCTGGTAAATCTCTCTCTTGGCTGTTCACTGGAGCAATGTCCCAATATCCAGGCTTTAAACTGAGGTATGAGTCTTCCCTACCTGTCTCTTTCTGAACAGCCCGACCAAAAGAGATGAAATCTCTTTGACTCTTTGTGTTATCTGGCCGTGGTGATGAAACTTTTCTTATATCATTAGTCTGTTCAACCACTAGAATTCCTTTCGACACATCGATATCCAAGTCCTGACTATTATTTTCTGTATCCTCCTCTCTAAAATCAGGATTGTCTTTACTTGGCAGATCTAGTTCTGATACAAGGTCAAGGCTGTCTTTTTCAATATCTAAACTGTCTGGTGCTAAATCTTCCTTGATACTGTCTTCCTCCTGGCTGTAGAGAGTGTTAGTGAATTCTTTACTGCTGCTGCTGGAACGCTTTGCTGCATCTCCTTTTGGTTTCAGCCTCTGAGACGAGTAAGGTGCATGGTTCAGGTGGTCAGTGTCTAGGTCACTGGACCTTTGTTGGAAGAGTTCAGGATTTACGGAGAAGATGGGCCGGCCTAACTGGGGGGTTAGAGATTTTGTCGGAACTGGGGATTGCTTCACAATCGATTTTATGGGTCGGGGTTCAGAATGAGATGGGTTCCTGCTTTGCCCAGGTTGTGGAGAAGTGGAAGATTGGGGTAAAGCGGATGAATGTAAGTGCTTGTCTAGATCAGATGGAGTTTCAACTTCAGGGTTAAGATTATGATTTATTTTAATGATGTCTCGATGAGGAGGGGCCTCGGTAGGAGTGTCACGACCTTCTTCTAATATATTGGTAGGCGTTTTATCATTGATTTGAACCGGTGAAGTGGCCACTGGGCCGGCATCAAATCCCACATTGAGTGAATCCCGTGATGGACTTCTAAGAATGGCTAGTTCTGAGCTGGATGATCCTAATGTCTCACGGTCGGATTCTGAAAAACTGGACAGGTCGTTGTTTTCTTCTGCATTCAGAGTAAAATGACTGGCTGGGAGGAAGAGTTCTGATACAGACCCCTTCTTGCCACCATTCGAATCAATGTTATATTCTTCAGCTTCAATATTTTCTTTTTTGTCAGACTTATTTAGTTTAGCAAATCCTGATGTGGATATCAGTGCTGTTTTGTCCTTTGTCTTCTCTTTAGCAACAAGCAGATGGCTTTGATCTCCTTCAGATGCCTGCAAATGACCACCTCCTTGACCTCCTTCAGATGCCTGTCTAACTGCTGTAGACGTGATCACAGTTTGTTGTTGACTTTTATTTTTGGCTGCTTTTGCCTGGTTTATTTGCGCTGAAGTTTGTTTGCTGTTTGCTAGTTTGATCAGATGTTTGTTCTCCGTATGATTGCTGCCTTCCTCCTGTGTTTGTGATGTCAACTGTCCACTGTCACTGTTCATGGTAAATGAAAGACAGCCATGTCAAGGTGACCCAGCAGCCCAGACTTGACATGAAAACTGATGAGAAAAATGTTAAATTATAATTTTGATTTGCTATTCTAGCTTGATTGTTTTTTTTTATTATTTAATATGAACTAATAACTATGAATGTAATATCAATAATATATTTTTATTGTACATTTTGAGTGAAATTAAATAAAACATCTAATAAAAATTTAATATTAAAATGTAATATCAATAATATAATGTGTATTATTATAACCTTGAGTGAATATAAATTGAACATCTTAAAAAAAATTAAACAAGATTATAACGTGCAAGAGAGATTATCCTGATTTACAAGTTGAATAAATATAAGGAGTTCTCGTGTTACTTTCAAGAACTCTAAATAAAAGATCAATAAATATTCTACAGCTCAGGTTACTAACGTAACGATAACATATATTGTTTAATATTATAAGGTTACTAACGTAATGATATTGTTGAGTATTATAACATATTGTTAAAGTATGTCAGTGTTAGCCACTAGGCACAACATGAGCTCATTAAATAATGTGATTAGGCTTGATATGTCTAATGGTGTCAATAAGTAGAGGATTACATGTTCAGTGACGAATGGCTGGACAGTGCATGTTTTAAAATTAGCTTTATACAGCTATCAGACCATGCTAAAAATATAGAAGAGTTTTAAGTTTAGACTAAGTGTGATATTGAAGGAATGGTCCATGAGCTAGTCCAGTGGTCAGCAAACTCATTCGTCAAAAGAGCAAAAAATCAGCAGCAGGACAATTGAAAATTTTTCAAGAGCCAAATTTCTTATCAAGAACCTGTCAAGGACCATGTTTTTACGGAGTCAAAACCTATCTGTACTCCACTGGCAGAGCCGCACTCAGGTCAGAGCTGCATGTGGCTCACGAGCCATGATTTCCCGACCACTGGGCTAATTTATTCAAATTTTTTTTAATATATCACATTAACTTTGTCTACTTAAAGTCTAATGAAAGAAGACCAAGAACAGCTAATAATAATAATATCTGTAAATAATCTATGACAAAAGCCAGTGGTTCCCAACCATGTGCTCTGCTCAGCCCTCAGGGCACCCAGTGCACTGCTTGGGGACTCTGTGTCCAGGACATTGCTAAACTTTAACTTGTTTGACTTAGGGTAGAAGGGTTCCTCCATAAAAATTGATTCTTAAAATGGCGAGCTCAAAATTTTGGGAAACACTTACTTAAGCAATATTTCACCATTCATTAGCAAGCTTGACATTTTTGTTTTAAAGATATCAGTTTTATTTACAAAAGAGAATTTTAAGTTTCAAACAAACAATGAATGTCCTTAATTAGCTACTTCTTTTCCCTTTAATTACTTATTTCTTGAAAGTAAAAAAACATGCAGGTGCTAACCTTAAGTCTCCAGAATATACTTCTAAAAGTAGGGTACAGAAACTAATCTAAAGTCTCTAGAATATACTTCTAACAGTAGGCTACAGAACAGAATCTAAAGTCTATAGAATATACTTCTAACAGTAGGGTACAGAACAGAATCTAAAGTCTATAGGATATACTTCTAACAGTAGGCTACAGAACCTAATCTAAAGTCTCTAGGATATACTTCTAACAGTAGGCTACAGAATCTAATCTAAAGTCTCCAGAATATACTTCTAACAGTAGGCTACAGAATCTAATCTTAAGTCTCCAGAATATACTTCTAACAGTAGGGTACAGAACAGAATCTAAAGTCTCTAGGATATACTTCTAACAGTAGGCTACAGAATCTAATCTAAAGTCTCTCTAACAGTATGCTACAGAAAATGAAAGACTTACCATCAATATAACAAATACTTTCTAATAGAGTTTCAAAATGAAGAGGGACCAAGTAGAATCAACTGCAACTATGATCATTTCAAAATGCATTACTATATAGCCAAGAAGACTACTATCTATGCTATTAAATATCAATTTGGTTTCATAATTATCGTTTTAAAAGCCTTTTCTTTTAACTCTATATATTTAATTAAATCTTGATTGTGTGATAAAAGAATGAAATGATTATGATATATTCTTCAAATCCAATTAAATACTTCAATCAAATATGCCCACACTGTTGACTTTTTTTTTTATATTTTAAAATATGTAACCTTTATTTAATTCTATTCATTTGTCAAGATTTTAAACATTAGTAAAAGTCTCTGATTTTGTATGTGTGTGTCAAAAAAAATATCTGCTTACAGGATAAAATAAATTTAATTTGAATCTAATTGAAAAATGCAATTAATCATTTATTAAATAATTTTTTTGTTTCAATTTAAAATGATAACATTCATTTGTTGTTGGGTTTTTTTAAGTGAATTTTTTGTAGGATAGAATTTTAAAAAATGTTAAACAACTGTTTTTTTTTCAACATATATTACATTATTTCTTTCAATAAATTTGTATGAAATTCAATTTTTTATTTTTTTTTAAACATAACAGAAAATTAATTAAGGAAAAGGGCCATCAATAAATGAGGTCATGCTATGTTTGCCAATTTTTTATACCCTCCTCCCCCTTTTCAAACTCATCAAAAATTTATCACAAAGTTTAGAAACCTCTATTGTCACAAATTCATGACCCTCACCCCCTCTCCACCCTTGAATGCATGACATCACTTAGTGAAGGCCCAAAACAAAAGATTAATCTTGACATCAAGCAAACAGAGAATAAATAATGAAATATGGTGAATAGTGAAAATAAAATGAAAAATGTTTCAGAAAACTATTAGGCCTATTTTTGTTTCTGTAAAGAAAATTTTTAGTGTTTATATATAAATGATGTCACTGAATATTTTTTTGCAATATTTACTCTTGCTTTAATTTTGTTTAAATATAACTTAGAAATAGATAGGTGACCAATGAGCACATAACAAAAGTGCACATGACAAAAGTCCATCATATTTGAAATATTCTATTTGCACTGTTTTCATGACAGTTGCAGTGGAGTTTCTGTGTGAAATTATGGTGTGCACGTTTGTAATTTGCACATGAGTTAAGTCAGTCTTTGCTGTATTATTCAAATATTATGTTGATTGTGTTTTTTGTCAATTAAAATTCTGAGAATTGATGACAAAATATACACTGACTATTTGGAACAATAAATATTTTTATCAATTTGTTAGTAGCATGTGCTTATAATATACATTTGAAAATATAAAGATGAATATTGCACTGGATGTAGGGTAAATAATAGAGTTGAAATTTATTTGCACTTAAAAACTGTAAATATATATATTTAATTTTATAATATATATATGTCGTAAAATAATAAAATAATGATATCAAATAAATCATTAAGTCAGCATACTTAATTTTTGTAAATACCTAGCGATCTCTATAAATTCTTTAAAAATATGTGAGCTTGAAATATACCAAAAGGTATAAGCACCCCAAATGGAATCTTGTATGCAGTTTTTAAAATTGAATCTCATTCAATGTTTTTTTATGAACTATTTAGATTTCAACAGTCATAAAATTTAACAAAATTCTACAAGTATGACATGTTTATTTCTAAGTGTAAAAAAATTGCACGCATTAATTTTGCAAATCATGATTTTTCATTTACAGATTTGTTGAGATATCAGTTTGATTCATAAGGATTTTATTAATTCATTTAATTCCCCACAAGCGTATACATAGTTTACTTATAAAGTAATTAGTTAATTTTTTATTCATTGTTTTGCAAATTAAGTGTAGGGCTTGTGAAAAGGGATCAATCTTCTTGGCAACCAACATTCCAAAAATGGCTCCAGCTCAAGAGGGTTAATAGCTTATTTAGTAGTAAGACGGGATACTTATGTCAACAAAAGATAATTGTGATACTATAAAAATTAGGCAGAGCCTAGATAATTTTACTTTTATAAAACTTATTATTTCTTTGTTTTCAAATTATTATGGGAGAATTCTTAAACTTAGCTTGTGCCTATCAGTTTCACAGTAGTGCCACTCAGTAGTATCACTATCATCATGCTATTATTATCATCATTATTAGCAAGTAACCTACAAATTTAATATAGTTATACTTATAGGTAGGTACTTTGATAAGAAAATTAAAAATTTTTGTAAAAATAAACCAATGACATAGTTGAATAGAGCTAATTTTTAACAGAATTATAACACCAAAATCATATTTTTAGCTGTTGTAGTTTTAAAGTTATGAATTTTTAAAGTACGACATCGTTTGTCCTTTTTTAACATGGACTTCACCTCCACATTCTGTCACCCAATTCCGCTGTTCGTGTCACGAGCTATATAACTCTCGTTTTAATGATAATTTTATGCGACTTTTATTTTCAGAACTAATTCTTGATTAACAAATAATTTTAATAAGTTATACAATTATATATAAATTATAGTTTATCTAACTATGCACTATTTCTGTTTACCAAATCTACAGCGTCCATTATACCGGTATATGCTATATAGCCTATATAAGGCAACGCACCCCCTAAAATATAGCTGGGATCTACTTATTTTGAACTTTCAACTTTGGCACATGTCTAATTAACTAAAGCTTTCCCTGACCAATGGTGTTAATAGTTTTTGCACATGGCAAACTCTTATGCATGAAACTTGAGGTAGTACTACGGCATAGCTTTATGCAAATGGCTGTGAATGGTTTCTCATGAATTTTTGCACACTGTCAATTCGGATCGTTAATAATATGGACTCTACCGGGTTTTTAAAGCTCAAATTTAAACATTCTAGTTTAAATGTCTTCAAAATCCATTCTGAAACACAAGTTATCAAATATTTTTATGTATATAGAGGTAATAATGAATATTTCCTAAGCTAAGTATCAACATTTTCCGCCATTTAAAAGGGGGCGGGATCACTAATCCAAAATGGCCTGTGGGACCTTTGCATAATGAGGTCAATGTTGAGTAGAATTGTAAAAATGTTTCATGAGCTATCTCAATGAAATTTTGCACACATGTACTTCAACAAATTATGCAGGCCTACTTTTTATATGAAAAACCTACTTTGAATATTTAGACCTAATTTTTTAATGCAAAGATGCCTTATATTGACATACAATTTTCCTCACTTAAAGTTGAGATAAATAACAAATTAACTCAATGGGAATGCAGTTCAACATTTCTCCTAACATTAATGGGTGGAGTCAAACCTTAATTATGGGCCAAAAGGGCTCCTAATTTCTTCAAATTACATGGACATGAAAAAATTAAAAACTCGGATCCTATTGCGCAGACGCCCATTTCTGATACAAATTTACTAGCAGTGTGCCTTGCTCGGCAAAATATTTACTTATACTTATAGGCCTAACTTTTTAATAGTTTAGCCTAATAATTAATTAGACTATGACTATACTACTACTATACTATATTACTTTTACTAGACGATTAGTATTAGTCCAAATAGTCGTTATTAATAATTAGTGAACTAGGCAGAAGACTAGACTGGTGTCGTCGTGGTGTGATTACATTTACAACAAGCCAATTCAACGTGCAGTATTTAAATTTAAGTACACTTAAGCTAGCCAAAAGATGTATAAGTATAAGTATAGACTAAGCCTACATTTTCAGAGCGCAAAAGAATTACTATCATTGTTTTTTATTATTACTACTTTACTAGAAACATTAATGCATATACCTATCTACATACTCAGTTATCAAAGTCATTTTCAGATTTGAGTTTAATATTGAAGTATTTTCTTTTCATCAAAACTAGGGACGCCGGAAGTTCAGACCATAAGTCGTCTATTTACACTATCAGTGTTGTCATGACAGTATTTCCGGAGATTTAAAAACCAAATCTTATATCTATATTATTTTCCTTAGATGGCTTTTAGATGATAAGGATACTCTAGGTATTTAAAAAAATAGTTTTCAAAATAAAATACAGATTTAATGATATTCAGAATAAATATGAAAATATTATTTAAAATAAAATCACTTTTAACGCTGTAAGCGGTTCTACTATAAATATGAAGACGTACATGACATATTATTTCATTTAAATGTTGCACATAACCTACCCTACCCTTTATCATTTTATAAAGCTAGTTTGGCAAAATATAAAAATACCACTTTTTTCGTGGTTTACTTTTTAGATTGATAATTTTTATGATGAAACCTATGTTTATCACTTTTTAGGCAGATATGATGAACATTAATTGAATATGTAATATGTACCGTCAGTGGCGTAGCTAGAGTTAGTGCTGAGGGTAGGCAAAGATTTTTGCTGCCAATTCCACGAAAATAAAGTCTGCAGTTGACTGAAAATCCCGCACCTTCTTGTAAAGAAAATGTACCACTTTGGCAGACCGCCCCTTTGTCTTTGACACCATCTTCTTACGCCAGTGTTACATTCATGTGCACTCTTTAGACGCTATTGATATTGCGCCTAAATTATGGAACAGTTTGCTCAATCTTTGAGCGAAAATGAAAATGGGAAAAAATTTATTTCAGAAAACTTTAAGTAGGCCTATTCAGTCATCATCATCATGTATAAGACTGGCAAGAATCAGAATAGGGAACACATTTTGTTGGCCTTCTCATGGGGTATCTGAAGAAGCTCTGTAAACAAAACAACAAAACAAAAATACCACATGCATTGCGCTATTTCATTGAAATATTTTAATTAGAAATAATTTGGGTAATATTCGGTTATCATTAGGGCCTAGTATAGCTGTAAAGTCTCAACATTTACTTTTTAAGATCGGTCTAAAATATCCTTGTTTAACTGGAGAGGATGGAATACTGATATTGCAATCAGTTTAGGTAAAAAGTATTGAGTGCAACAAAGTTAGGGGAAACCCTTAAACCAGCGGTTCTCAACCTGTGGGTCGCGACCCCTCTAGGGGTTTCAAGTTGTTTTAGTTGTTTCTAGTTGTCTCTAGTTGTCTCTAGTTGTCTCAAGTAGCCTCTAGCTGTTTCTAGTTATTTCTAGTTGTGTCTAGTTCCTCTAGATTTTTTCGAGTTGTCTCTAGTTATTTCTAGTTGTTTGTAGTTTCTCAAGTTGTCTCTATTTATCTCCAGTTGTCTCAAGTTGTCTCTAGTTATTTCCAGTTGTCTCTAATTGTTTTTAGTTGTTTTTTGTTGTCGCAAGTTGTTTCTAGTTGTCTCTAGTTGTCACTAGTTTTTCCTTATTGTCTCTAATTGTTTCTCGTTGTCCGTAGTAGTCCATAATAGTCTCTAGTAGATTCTAGAAACAACTTGAAACAACTAAAGAAAAATTGAAACAAGTCTCTAATTGTTTATAGTTGTTTCTAGCTGTTTCTAGTTGTTTGTAGTTTTCTCTAGGTGTATCTAATTTTTCTAGTTGTTTCTAATTGTCTTTAGTTGTTTCTAATTGTCTTTAGTTGTTTCTAATTGTTTCTAGTTGTCTCTTGATGTCTCTAGTTTTGTTCTAGTTGTTTCTATTTTTTTCTATTTGTCTCTTGTTGCTTTTAGTTGTTTTTTGTTGTTTCTAGTTGTCTCGAGTTGTCTCGCATGTTTCTAGTTGTCTCTAGTTTTTTTTCTAATTGTTTCTAGTTTGTTTCTAATTGTTTCTAGTTGTTTCTTGGCGTCTCTTGTTGTTTCTGGTTGTCTCTAAATATGTCTAGTTGTTTCTATATGTTTCTAGTTTTTTCTGCTTGTTCCTAGCTGTTTCTAGATGTCTCTTGTAGTTTTTTCTAGTTGTTTCTAGTTGTCTCTAGTTGTCTCTACTTGTTTGTAGTTTTTACTAATAACCTCTTGTTTTTTTTTTTATCGTTGTTTCTAGTTGTCTCTAGATGTTTCTACTTATTTCTAGATATTTCTTTTTGTCTCTAGTTGATTCTAGTTGTCTCTAATTTTTCTAGTTGTTTTTAGTTGTCTATAGTTGTTTCTAGTTGTCGCTATTTGTCTGTAGTCGTCTCTAATGCTTCTAGTTTTCTCTAGCTGTTTCTAGTTGTTTCTAGTTTTTTTCTAGTTGTGTCTAATTGTTTCTTTTTATCTCTAGGTGTCTCTAGTTGTCTCTATTTGTTTCTAGTTGCCTATAGTTCTCTCTAGTTTTTTCTTATTGTTTCTTATTGTTTCTAGTTGTCTTTAGTTGTCAATTTTTTTTCTAGTTTTTCTATATGTTTATAGTTGTCTCTAGTTGTCTCTAGTTGTCTCTAGTTGTCTCTAGTTGTTTCTAGTTGTCTCTTGTTAATTCTAATCGTCTCTAGTTTTCTCTAGTTGTTTCTTGTTGTCTCTAAATGTCTCTAGTTGTTTCTGGTTGTTTTTTCTTTGTTAATTCTAATACACTCCTCTTTGTCTCTTGTTGTCTTTAGTTGTCTCTAGTTGTCTTTAGTTGTTTCTTTTTGTTTCTAGTTGTATTTAGTTTTTTCTATTTTTTTTTCTAGTTATTTCGAGTTGTTTCTAATTTTTTCTAATTGTTTCTACTTGTCTCTATTGTTTCTAGTTGTTTCTATTTCTCTAGTTGTCTCTAGCTGTTTCTAGTTGTTTTTAGTTGTTTTTTTTCTAGTTGTCTCTAATTGTTTCTTTTTATCTCTAGTTGTCTCTATTTGTTTCTAGTTGTCTATAGTTAGTTCTAGTTGTTTCTTATTGTCTCAATCTGTCTTTCCATCCATCCCTGTGGAGCTACAGCCCATGTAGGGCTCTGGCCTGCCTCACCACTTCCTTCCACTCAGACTTAACTAATGCCTTTCTTTTCCATGCTTGGACTTTCAGCTGCTGTAGATCTTTTTCTACATCATCTATCCACCTAAGTCTAGTTCTGCCTTTGAGCCTTTTTCCTCTGGGGTATTGGTGATGCACCCTCTTCGTTCCTCTGTCATTTGGCATTCTCTCTAGGTGTCCTGCCCAGCGTAGCCTGCCTCTTTTTCTTTCTGCCACTATTGTGGGATCCTGATATAGACTTTATAACTCCTGGTTGGTTCGTATTCTCCATCCATATTCATCCTTTGTTGGCCCATATATTTTCCTGAGAACTTTCCTCTCCCATGTGTTTCATAGGTTTTCTGCTGTTTTTGTTAGGGTCCAAGTTTCACTTACATATGTAAAACTGGTCTGATCACAGTTTTATAAATAATTTTCTTTGTTTCTCTTGTAATGTTTTTACTTTTGAGTATTTTCTGACTACGGAAGTATGCATTGTTTCCGGCTGATATTCTTTCTTTTATTTCTGTTAGTAATTCGTTTCTTTCATTTAACAAGGATCCTAGGTATTTGAATTGTTTTACTTTTTCAAAAGTTTGGTTTCTAATTTTAATTGTTTCATCTGTTTGTTCCTCTCTTATCGTGGTCATGTATTTGGTTTTTTTGGTTGTTAACTTTCAGCCTTGCTTGTAGAGATGCGTCTTCTAATTCAATAAAGATTTTGATATGTCTTTAATACTTTTCCTTAGAAGTGCTATGTCATCAGCATATGCAAGATACTGAAGTGGTTGGTTGTAGAGTGTGCCCATTGGTTGTGGGACTTGAGTTTCCCTCAGAAAGTATCCTGTTATCGCTCCTCGAATGTCAATGTGTCTGTTTCTAATAACTCTCTCTAATGTTAGGTTAAAGAGCATACAAGACAGTGAGTCTCCCTGTCTTAGGCCTCGTCTAATATGAAATTCCCTTGAATATTCTCATTTAATCTTGATTTTGCTTTTTGAGTTGCTTAGTGTTACATGTATTAGCCTTGTCAGTTTGTTGGGTATCCCAAACTCCTGCAGAGTCTCATATAAATAGTTTCGTTTGATGCTGTCATAGGCCATTTTATATTCCACATAGAGTTGATGTACTGGTATATTATATTCATAGCATTTCTCTAACAGGCATCTGATGGTGAAAATCTGATCAGTCGTTGATCTGTTAGGCCTGAATCCACATTGGTAATCACCTAGTATTTCTTCAGTGTAAGGTTGTAGTCTTTTGGCAATAAGCTTCGTCAGTATTTTGTATGTAAAATTTAATAGAGAGATTCCTCTGTAGTTTGTTCACTGAGGTTTGGGGCCTTTCTTGTGTGTTGGGGTTATTAATGCTGTTTCCCATTCTGTTGGGATATTCTCTTCTAGCCAAACTTTAGTAATAAGTTTATGTATCTGATTGTGTAGTTCTTTTCCTCCATATTTAATAATTTCTGCTGTGATAAGGTCTTGTCCGGGGGCTATGTGATTTTTCGTATAATTAATTACCTCTTTGGCTTCTTCTAGGGTTAGAGATTTTTTATAATGGTCTGTTCCTCCCTGTGGGAGTTGATAATCTTCTTCTTGTCTGTTGTCAGCATTCAGTATGTCCTCAAAATATTCAGCCCACCTCTCCAATACTTAACTATTTTCCATCATTATAATTCTCCATTGTGGCTCTCACCCATTTGCGGTCTGACTTGGTATCCATTCTTTTATCTTCATGTACTTTCCTTGTATTTTTGTGTTGTCTTTCTGGTTTCCCTCTGTAACATGATCATTCGTGCTTTGTTTCTTTCTTCCACAGTCTCTCTGCATTCATTGTAGAACAAGCCTACTCTATTGTTGGCTTGTTGAAATCCCACTACTTTTTCTGCTGATTCTTTTAATGGCATTGCATTTTTATCCTATCCCACTGATCATATATGTTGGTTTCCCCGTTTATTTCCTCGTGAGATGCTTCTAATTGAGCTTTTATTTCATTCTGGTAAGCTTTTGGGTCTTTGAGCAGCTTTTGGTAATCGTATCTTTTCTCTCTTTGATTACGACCATTGTGAACTAAGCTATCTGTCTTTAGTTGTCGAAGTTTTTTTCTAGTTTTTCTATATGTT